CCCAGATCCAGGGCAGTCTGGTTATGCAGAAGATTATTGGCACGGCAAAGACGGAACATTGCAGCAAAGGGGAAAAAATGTGTGACTGGGTCTGGGCATTCTTTAGCTATCTTATCGATGCCATGACCTGGGTTACAGATTGACTGCGAAGGCTCTTGAGACACCCTTTGTCAAAGGATGCCTCCCTAAACACAGAATTGTGATTCGTTTTAAAAAGAGCATGCTCTGAGGACATAGAATCATTAAGGTTGGAAAAGACCTCTAAGATCATTATGAATGGGAGATCAGTGCTAGAAGCTAGATAGCAGAGGAATGAGGATTCAAAGTTGTGTCAGGAAGGATTTTTGAGGGCTGAGAAAGCTGGGGCAGGCGCGATGCAACTTCTCCCTTTCTCCACACAGTTCAAGGAATGCAATGCTTCCCTGTGTTACTGCTGATAATAATCATGAAGCTGTGAGCGAGGAGCAGTATTACAGAGGTTCATAGCTTCAGCACAATTTCAAGTGATTGAATTTTTCTCTTACACCAAGTATCTGATACCTTAAAAAATATGAGCTATCCAATTACTACACAAACAAGGGAGTTTATTGAGATGTGGGATTCAGTAGCTGAATGTAGACATGGCATCTGGTTAGCACTTTAAAGCTGAAGTGTGACTTAAAAAAAGGGGCACAGTTAGGAGAGCCTAGGGTTTGTTCCAATTTCTGGTACGTTCAGGTGGTTCTTGAGTAGTTTGATTTCCGATGCAAGTCCTTCAACCCAGACAGCCAGGCTGTGTCATTACATGACCAGTGTACTGATCTCTACTTTGGACAGTGGTAACGAATCTTGATTTACCGTCAGCCATCCAACTGTATCCTAATATAACTTGGCAGGAAAACTTGATGTTAGTGTTTTTGAGAAATTTTGTAGCAGTCAAGACTGGTGACCTCTGTCATGTGTGGATGTCAAGGATTCTGCTTCGTGCAAAATTTTACTTCTGGAGAAAACTTCATTTATTACAGCAGAATTAGGCATTATGACTGTGACTGTCTTTGAGAGATTAAAGCGTTTCCTAAATCTGTGGCCTGTTTCCTTTCTTCTTGTATTTATCTTCTACCTTTTCACGCTCCAGATCTTTGTTTTAATTTTATTTTGCCAAGGACCAGAAAAGGCTCTCCTTGGAAGCTGTTTCTATGCCATATGTTCTGTGAGAATATCTTTTCATAATTTGTTAGAAGTCCACACTGGCTTTCTGGTGACTCAGGGATTGCACTATAATACTGATAAGATAATGTTTAATCATGTATTCTAAAGCAGGAGATTTAGGTCACAGGATTAGTTTGTTAGGAAGCTTCAATCAAGAACATATTAACTGGAATGCATACTGCCTACAGACAGATGTTTGTTTGAATTACTAGATAAAATTGAACTTTCGTTGATGCAGAGCACTGCAGAAAACTGGACTTAATTTTTTTAAGCAATGCCTATGGATTTAGGTCGAGTGGAATGTTAACATGTGGCAATGAACTTGAAAAACTTCTTTTTCTCTACCCTGTTTCTCCAGTGTGTTCAATGGGTACAAGTGCCCACTGACTATGTGAGGGAGTTAATACTCCTATTTTAAAGCTTTCTTATTAGGGAAGAAAACTAACTTTTCAGGTGTGCAATGTTAGGACACATAACACTTCACATATGGTTTTGCTTTTGCAGGAATAGACAGTCGATACAATGAAGGTTGCCGGGAACTGGCAAACTATCTGCTTTTTGGCTTGTATAACCAGAGTAACAATGACTTTGAAAGAACTGGGTTTCCTGAAGAAGTTCTTGATGGTGAGTAACATGCTCAACATTTTTACCTATTCTTCAGTTCTTCTTGGAGGAAGGGTGAGCCAGAAAAAGGGGCATACCTCAAACAAAAAAAAAAATATTAAATCCCTAATTGTGTAAATATAGACCTGAAAAACTGTTCTTAGAAAGTCTGCTGATGAACTCTTGTTTCTAAACACATGCCCCCTCCATACATTCCCCAAAGTCTTATAAACCTAGACAAATACAGCCCATTAGGAGAAGTCCTAGCTCAGTCATGGTATGTATGTACATGTGTTATCAATTATTGTGTGATTAAACCTCTGGAGTTCTAAAATACTTGAGCTCTTTTCTACTTTAACATATTAACTTTTTTAATATTTGAAAGGTGGCCAATCACCATGATCATAGATAATTATTCCCTTATTTCCATGAAACTTTGAATATCTACTCCATGTGCTGTAACGCCAGTTTTTAGTTGGCGCAACCTTCTGGTGTAGTATCAGGCGAGAGCAACTGTAGTTTACAGTTTTGTAAGCGCTCTGTGAGGACTCACCACTTGACACTCTCGGCTTTTCAAAAGACAGGCTGATGCAAGTTCTGTGCAAGACTTCAAAATAAACCCACAATTGTTCTGAACAGTAAGAAGTACTATTGTGCTTGGAACTGTATATGGCTGCCAATTGTTTCTTTTAAAGAAGTGGGGAATGATTGTGTATTCAAATAGTTAAACAATTGTCTTTTAATGAGGTACATTATAGGAAAAGTTTTCTGTTCACTTTCTGTGGGGTTTTTTTTGTACCTATGTAATTTTTCTGTGTGTGGAGACTTGATGCTGGAATAATATTTGTTCTGCTTGTTGCAGATATAATCATATTAATAAAACCTGACAGTGTCCATCTGTACTGTAACCCTGTGAATTATAATCATTTTTTGCCGTATGTGGCGTACTGGAGGAACTTGCATTTTCACTGTCTGACTGAAAATGAGGTAAGTGTAAAATGAATGCAGATGAGAATTGCTAATGAACTTGTTAATGAACTGATATTCAAAGTGGAACTTTTTTTTAACATTCCTTCCAGAAGTCATGTTTTTCTTTTTCATACTCAGCAGGGGAGTGATCTGCATATATATATATATATATATATGTATGGGTATTAATCATTTTGCTAATGTGTGCAAGAACAATATGTTTTTAATACTTTGAATTTGTTGGAGCATGAAGACAAATTACTCCCCTCTCCCACTAATTACTACTGCTTTGACATGAGTTGATGATCTTTTTAATGAGGAAAAACGTGTGGGTTGTGAGAAATCTGAATTGAGTATCACAGTCACCACTGAGGTTTCTAAGGATAGCCTTATTTGACACCAAAGCAGTGTTTTAATGTGTTGTATGCCGATAATTTTAGAATACTAGAAAAGATTGGCTTAGTAAGCCATTTAAAATCAAGAAACTTTATTATTTAAACTTTCAACTCTTCCTTTCAATGGCTATTAACCTCACTTTTGTTGGACCATGTGAGTGATACGGGTTTCATCTTGCATTTAGAAGTTGGAGTATTCTTAGAAAAGCTGTGTTTATCATAGTGAAGTACCTAGAGGCGTAAAAAATTAAAATACTGTTTATCTAGGTGTAGAATAGGAACCTTTTTATTCCAGTTGAGACTGGAATTGCTTCTTTGTAAATGCCATCATGCAAAACTTCCCCCCAGTTCAGTTCTGTATAATTTCTTTTCTAAATTAGAATTATACTGAAGTCTGAAGGGAGTGGTTAGGAGCCTGTGATGCCAGTGGGTGAAGCTGGTGGAAGAATGAATGGGGAGTTCCAGGAGAGAAACCTTTGCTCCCTTGAGTTTCCAGCTTGAAAGTGCTGGGGCTTATGATAGATTGATTGTGTTTTTATGTGGCTGTTTGATAGTTTAGATCAGAGAATTATGAAATAATTCAGGTTAGAAGGGACCTCTGGAGATCGTCTTATCCACCCTCCTGCTTAAGGCAGGGTTAGTGATGAGATCAGTTCAGGTTACTCGAGTTTTTTTGGAGCTGGGTGTTGAAAGATTGCAAGGATGATGACTGCAGAACTTCTTCTATTGGCGATCTGCTCCATTACCTGACTATCTTAATAGTGAAGAGGTGTTTCCTTTTGTCGAGTCTGAACCTCTCTTGTTTTAAATCCTGCCACTGCAGACCACTGCGAAGAACCTGGCTTCACCATCTCAATAACACTTGTGGGTGTTGGAAGGCAGCTATTAGGTCTGGCCATTGCCTCCTCGAGGCTGAACGAGCCTGGGGGTCTCCTTGTAGGACAAGTGCTCCAACCCACTGATGGTCATGGGGGCCCTCCACTGAACTTGCTCCAGTTTGTCAATGTCTGTCTTGTACATGGGTCCCAGAGCTGGATGCAGCGTTCTAGATACAGTCCCATGCATAGAGGGGGATAATTCCTGCTTGTTGAGATGTGAACAGCTGACCTACAGGTTAAAGCATGCTGTAGCAAAATCTAAAGCCTGGCTTCATAAGGTTTTTCTGTTGCCAAAATGCCTACTGAAAGGGCAAATCTTGAAGCCTATCTGATGGTGGCAAAACACACGCATTTTGGAGTCAAGACTGGAGTAGTTACTAACACACTATTGCTAGCACAGCTGCAATATCACTATTGAATTTTAAAGCTGTGTCTGCTTATGGGCTTCTGTATGGTTCTGTGGTAAGTAGTAACCCTAATCACACAGTACTGGCTTGAAATGTGATGTAACTAGAAAGGTAAACCATATGCCTTGCTATTTCTAGAAATGGATGGAGAAGTTTGATTTCTGAAACTGAAAATACAAGGTTTACTTCATTGCTATTTCATGTGATGAAACACTGCAGATGCAATGCAATGCGATGCATTTGCAGTCACATTTCCAATGTATGAGAATTGCCAGTTTCCTAGATCACTTCTGAAAGAGAAACCAAAAAACGTTGCTGTGTCAGGCTTTAAGGGTATCCTGTTTACAGGAGGATTGCCTGTAGTGGCTTTTAAGCTTTTTTTTTTTTTTATTGCAGTGATAGAAGTACCTTTTGCTTGCTTTTATAAGAATGAAACCAAAAAAGCTCAAGAGCTTTAGAAATAAAGAAAGCAATACAGTGCCTGGCTCTGTGCAGCTCTTGGTGAATTTGGCAAAACCTACAGCCTCTCCTTCCTCTCTTCCTTCCTACTTGCCTTTAACTAGACCATGGGAATTTAAGTGAATACCTAGTTATTGGAAGAGAAAACATATTATTAAAGAATGCCCATTTTCAAAATGGCCAAATAAGATAAAGTACTGAAAATTGCTTACTGTAAAAGCTTTCTGGGTGTCATGAGTGTACTGTTTATGGAACGGGCTGTATTTATACCTGCAATAGCAGATAGCGAGCAAGCCTTTAGCACCCTGCCAAAACAGAAGTTCTTATTCTAATGGCATTTTAAGTTTTGAGAAAATGGCAGTTGTTTGGGGCTTGGCTTTGAACTGGAACTTTGATCTGGCTTCCTAGGGTTGAGGAGAGAACACATCATGGAGGAACTTGGGCTGCATCTGAAATTCAGGCTTGTCTTAAAAGAACTTGTTCTTAAAATAAATTTGTTGGGTGTATCCTGAAGCTCACAAGAGCTATACACAAAAAGTTCATAATGATGTAATTTACCTTGATATTAAGTTCAGAATGCTGTACATTAAAAAAAAAAATAGACAAAACACCACTGCCTTCTGATCTTGCTCTAGAAAGCAAGTGACCCTTGAAGTACCCAGCAGTGCCTGTTGGTTTCAGACTTGCTACTAAACTGTGCCTCTTCAGATGAGAGAGCATTTTCAGATTTTTTTGTTCTGTTATAAAAATGATTTTTGTGTGATTTGTCTCTTAAGTCTAGCTTTTATGCTTCCCTGAGCCATAAGTATGATACTTGTTCTTCACTCCTGCTCTTCAGTCTGCTGAAGTCTTCAGACAATTTTAGTCTGCTACTAGCATGAAACAGCAAGATAGTGTTGCATGGTGGTGTCTCTTCTTCTTTCCTCCTCTTTTTCCTACATATACCTCTCCCTCAGACAGAAATTGGTTCTCATTGCGTGTTCTGTGACCTGAGGCATATCGTGTCACTCTGCTTTCCCAGTTTAGTGTTGTTAAGCTGGTAATACTCCCCCTGCCCTGATTAGTGGCAAGTTTTTTTTGTGGCACATTGGTTGGTATCCTCAAAATATCTGTTATTGTTTAAAAACTGTCTAGAATCTAGTAGATGATGTTGAAAAACTTCACTGAAAGCTGAAAATAAAGTGTATTTTTATGCCTTTGTATAACCTTATCAAAAACCTTGCTCTAAAGTTTGATTTTTAAAGAACACTTTCCATTGTCTTGAATACATCCCTGTTATGATGGAGTTTCCAAAATGCAGAGGCTAAAGAGATTCTTCAACTTCTGGAAACTAGATAATATTTTACTTGATTACGTGTAGTGGCATTTGCCATGGAATTAAAACCATACAATACATAATCTCCTTACTTCAAAGCTAACAATCAAATTAAGCATGCTTGATAAAATTTTATTTCAAATTACTTCTTTCAGTATGAAGATGAAGAAGCTGCGGAGGAATTCAAAATTTCCAGCTTCGTAGACATGGTTCGAGATTGCAGTCGCATTGGTATTCCATACAGCTGCCAAGGTAGGCTAGCTTGTTTTATGCTTATAGTGTGTTTTGCAGTATGCAAGTCATGCAGTTCAGGGAATGAAGATTTTCCTGCCTTTGTTAAGAAATAAGGATTAATATGTCAATAGTTTCCTTTTAACCTCTTTTTACTTGAATTGGGTTTCTTTCTGAAAAATGCAAGCGCTTAGACTTCATCTGAAGAGTGAATGCTCACAGCGTGAGTCAAAGAAAGAATTTGCATTCAGAGAAGTGTGTTCTGCTGCTACAGAAGTTCTCTGTTCAGATGAGAGCTCCAGCTAAATACTTCTTTATGTCAGGAAAGAATAAACATTTCGTTATGCAAGTTTCCTTTTTTAGCACTGAAAAAACGGGACTGCATGACTTCCTGTTATGATCTGTAGCCAGCCTTGCTGGCTATAATCTTAGTGTTTAGTGTAACAGTGTAATCTTACACTGTTTAGTAAAGTTTACTTTGCAGTAGCCTGAACAGTGAATAATGCAAAAGTAATGCAGTGCAAGTACTTCACTGTGTAGCATGAGCATGTGGGGTTTTTGATCCTTAGTACAGAAAGCGAGAGGCAAACAAAAAAACCTGCTCTCTATTTTTGAACGATGTAAGTTCAACCTACACTTTTTTTTTTAATTATTCCTAATTCTTCATTGCTTCTCTTGAGGAAAGGGTAATATGCTCTGACTGCCTGGAAAATTGTTAATGGGTCAGGGCATGAGGAGGATGGCTGTTCTTTGTTAGGAAGCATCTGAAGAAGGTGTGTAGCTTAAGGGTAGTAATAGCACTTCGCTTCAGATGGCTTACAGCTTCACCAGTGAGTACCACACTGAATAGTTTTCCTCCCCCCTGACTTAAAATACTGGTTAACACCGGGATGATGTTGACTGTATTTTACTTAAGGCCAAATATTTTAAGAAATTGGAGTAAGCAAAGCTCCCTGTTTATTATATTGAATTTTAATGGGCCGAGTTTTGCTAATGGTCTTGGAATGAAATTTGCGAGGAGACATAATATCCTTTACTAGACTGACAGCTGGAAAAAAGGGACGCAATTTGGAGTGTAGCAAAAGGAGTTTCTAAAAACTACTGTCTTCACAAAAACCCGTTTTTTTCAATTAAAGATTTTAAGTTGAAGAAAGACAGGATAATTGAGAACCTTTATTAGAATCTCAGAACAACTCTTACGATCTCGCATAAAGTTCAACTGCCAGTATTTGTGAGAGAATGTTTCTGTGAAACATTTCTTTTGCAGGTCATCTACAGATATTTGATATGTTCATTGTTGAAAAGTGGCCAATAGTGCAGGCTTTTGCACTGGAAGGAATTGGGGGTGATGGCTTCTTTACAATGAAATACGAAGTGAGTAGTTACATTTTTTGTTTTCTTCCATTTACATTCTGAAGCAGAAATAAAATCAAGAAATTATTTCAGTTGGAAAGTACCTTTTGAGATCATCTAGTCCTGAATCATCACTCAAAGGAGGGCCAGCTTCTAAGTTGGATGAAGTTTTTCAGGATCTTAGGAAGCTGAGTTTTGAATATGCAAGGATGGAGACACCACAGGCTTCCTGAGAGACTGTTAGGAGCTACACAGCACTCTGTCCTGGATAAATGATGATTGTTTGGTTCCCGCTTCCAGCCCCCTGCTGTGATTTAGAACTTTTTTCCCTTATTTTCTAGATCTTCCTCTACCAGTGACAGAAAATACTTTTTTTAGTTCTAGTAGGTGGGTATAGGTCTTTGAGTAGTGCAAGAGAAGCTGCCCAGTGACAGATGCCTGAAATCAATTGAGAAAATAAGAAGTGACTGTATTTCTTGGGTCATTGGTTTTGATGCAAGAAATGCATCTGCTTTTTTCACCAACGTTATATATTCTTGGGTCATCATAGCCTGCTGAATAAGGTAACAGTGAAGATTTTTGATGATGCTCCTAGTTTTAATCATGATTTGCTGTTCCACTCTGAGGAACTTGTATCATTTGATTTGCCTGTTTATTAAAGATACTCTTAACAGCATCTTCAGAGGCTAGCTTTGTATTTTTGTACTTGTTTGAAGCTTCTTTTATTTAATTTTCTTGGACTTCTGCCACCGAAATGCAGATGTCCTATTTTTCTTGTCACTCCTCCATTTTTACAGCCAGAATGTTCTTTGTCTGACTTCTGACAACTGGAAAAAACCCATGGAATTAATAGTACCATTGTTAAAGTCTCATCACATGTAGTACTGTACATGCTTGCTCAAAAATCTATTATGTGAGTTCAAGTGTGCCTTTCTCTGAGCACTGTTCTCTTTCCACTGATACTTCTCTTCATGCCTTTCTTTTATTCATTCCATCACTAGTACTGTAATCTTGTTGTGTGAACCTGTCAAAATCATTAAATGCAAAAGCACAAATAGATGAGCATCCTTGTGTATGTATGCCTAAGTATCAATAGCCCTTCCTGATATGTGAAATTAGTCAATGAAAATTTGTCTCTGGATTCACAAGTTGTTTGGGTCTGTAATTACCCTTGCTAATTCATTTAATGAATCCATAGAGGCTTTGAGAAGATGTGTAGACACAGTGTGGCAATGACTTTTAAAGACAGAGCCTATTCCATTTCATTGTGGGACTTGATACTGTCTTTGCAGCACTCTTGCAGACTTAAAAAGGAGCAATTAAAATTCTCAGTATCCATTTTTAAGAGTAAGCATGTTAGCTCTGGCGGTTCAGAGCTTTCTTCCTCCTTGAAGTCATAAGGGGGTTTCAAGTGGGAAGTGGCATTCTTAACTTTTTACGTAACTATGTATTCATGGGTGTTGTTAGGCAGCTGCTATATGTCACAGACGAGGAGAAAAAAACGATCCATGGGAGGAAGTACCTTTGGGAAGACTGTAAATGATCTATAAATGAATACTTCTGCCATTATTAAGTGGAGGTGTTCTCAGTACTTTTTTAGCTCCTCAAACTGACTTTCCCTCTACTGTGCATTCTATGCTATTAGATTTGAAGATAAACTAATGATGATAAGTTACGAATTTTTTTCAGTGTTTTAAGAGCAGTTGCTCTTTTACTAGAGAAGTCAGAGATGCTCAAGGTGCTGTAATCCAGAGAATTTACTGTACTGATAGGTGAATGGAAGTGATGTCTGGGAAATCATTATTACCATATCTAATAACATGAGTGACTGGAATAACTGTAAAGCAGTGGTTTAAGAAAATTCCAGCCAGTGTTGCGTTTTTAATTGAGTGGTTATGGAGATCCCTGTAAATGCAGAAATTACTCAGATTCAAGTGACCCTTAAGAATATATTTTTGAATAGTGTTCTCATATGCAGCCTGTGTCATCTGCTTTGGGGTTGGACTAGATGACCATTAAGGGTTCCTTCCAACCCAAACTATTCTATGATTCTATGATCTTACTACTTGGAAGCAGGTATTGCTAAGTTAAAGTAGCTTAGCCTAAATTTACAGCAAGAATTGGCTGGTGTGTAGGATGAGTAACCTTGGAATCTGCGTCTTGTCTGTCTTGTCTCAGAAAAGTGATCTTTCCCTTTTGCTTGCACCAACTGATACTATTCTTTGCTATTAACTCAAATTGAAAAACTTTATGAAATGATGTATTTGAAAGATGCAAGCAAAACTTTGCACATACTTTAAACCCTCACTTGAGGAAATGAGTTGCTGAAGCATCCAGAACACTTGCATCTGGTCAATTCTTTTGTAATCAGTAGTGTAAAAATATTTCCAAATTCAGAGTTAAGAAGGTCTGTTAGACTGGGCATTGTGCGCAAGGCTGTTTCAGTGGAGCTTAAACCTGAATCTGTGGCATTCTTCATGGTGTTTTTCACAGAAGTATGTTTAAAATCTTTTTCAGTTAATGGATGTCAGTGCTGATTTGTGGAGGACATACAGCAAAATGGATCCTGTTTCCTTGGAGGACTTGGTCTTTGAGGTAATGCAGGTGAAATATTCTGAATTGACTACTAATCCATTAGTGTAGCCGCAGAGCAAAATTGTGATTTTGTTTAGTTTTTAATAGCACTTACAGACTTAATCTACTAGTTCTGCATACTATTGTTCCCAGGGTCTCTTTCCTTTTCTCAAATCTACGACAAAGTCCACAAAACGTTAAAATAGCTTGTCTTGGAGTCCTTGAATTTCTTAATTTGCCTGAAATTCTCCTAGAAGTTTTTCTAAATGGTGTGACTATTCTTCAGGTCATAGGACTATGTACAAAGTACAGAAAGTTGGTATGTTTGTGTGTGTTAATCCTCCTTTTGCAGCAAGGGGGGCAAAAAAACATAGAACCATTCTTCCACGAAAAAACGCTTTCAGGACTGCTTGGTAACTGCTTTAAGTGGGTAACAGTGACACACAGTGGCTGCCCTGATGCCTTGTGAAATACAAACATACAGTGTAAAGTGATTCTGCATTTTAGTGTGATGGTCTGATCTCAGTGCTAGAGAAGAAAGAAATGTAGGAGTATTAGAATATATTAATTTGTTGTTAATTTTTTATCAGTTTCTAGCTTGGCAGCAAAATAAGCTTCTAATAGTAGTAAGTTCAGCAGTAAGTATGCTTCATTATTAAAATATTGGTAGTTAACACCAATTTAGTTGTTTGATCAACTGCTGTAATGAAAATTAAAATGCCATACGGTTTACAAGGCTGTGAGTCTAAATAGTCAATCTCTGATATTTCAATTCTCCCTTCCTGTGGAAGTTTAGGACTTTTCTTGTACCTGGTAAGTCTACCCTGAAACAGACTGACTTACCCTATTTTTAGGTTTTAAACCTGAAAGTTGTTTTTAAGTTTACTTAAAAATTTTCTGAAATAAATTAATGGGTTTTCATACAACTCACATAAAGTGGTGATTTTAAAAATGATTAATTTTCTCAGTGAGGATGAAGTTAGGTGATCTTAAAGAGCATTTGAAGCTGGTATATGTTTTTTTTTTGTGTTTTTTTTTTTTTTTTGTTAGCACAGCTTTGATTTCAAAAAGTCCTGATTTGGACTGTACTTGGGCTTTAAAAGAATGTGATGTACCTTACCGCCATGTTCCAAAAAACTGACAAAAGCACGTTTTAGTTCTTAGCTTCTATGAAAAGCTTATTTGAGACTGGAATATTCTTCAACAATAGTTTCTCCCTCTAAATTTAAATCTTCATTTTAAACCTCTAATATAGCCTTTATTAATATTTTGGAAGGCTTGTAGGATTTTGTCAACATTCACTCCCTACATTTTATTCAATCCTGCATTAATGAAGTGGCTGAAGTAAAATACCGTGTAATACTTACACCGCTGCTAAAATCATAGTTCTGGTTTTGCCTGTTATATACATCTGAAAAACTACACTTTCTAAAATCAGGATATCTCTCATCTTCCAAGTTAGTATGTGACAAGTAACTGAAAGTAAGCTTGAGATCATTTTAAAGTTGCCTAGTTCTGTAAGGCTCCTGCTTTATCAGCATGGCATGCTTTTCTTTTTATTGATTCTCTGATTTTTTTAAATTAATTTGAATGCAACACTTAACCTGTAGTCATCTTCCTTTTTTTCTGCTTTAGTGAGGTGTTACTAGTATTTCCTTTTCCACTTAATAATTTTTTTTTTTACAAATGCAGATAAAGAAATGACTGTCTGCCACGTGCATATCATGAGCTTCCCAAATTCCCCAGCCTGTTCCTCATTTTCTGTCCACAAGTTTACTTAATGCCAGATAGAAATTACTGCAGAGCCATATACAGATTTAAAAATTGAAAATGAAATCTATCCCAGTGTTTATTTTGGAAGTCTTATGGGAAACGAGGTCTGACTTAAGAGTGATCTCAAAACATGTTCTTCTATAGGTTAAAAGCAGATCGTGCGAGGCTCTGGTCCTTTTCCCTCTTCTGCCTCATCCCTCTCCAAAAAAACAAAACCACCACAAGCAAACAAAAACCACACACCCAAAAAAGACCCCCTTAAAGTCCAGCGGAAAGTTCTTATCTTTTGAAAGATGCTTATTTTCTTGTACTTATTGTTTCATCGGACAGGCTGTATTCTATACTGCACAGTGAAATGTAGTCTATGTTGTTCTAAAGTAATTTGGGTTCATTCAGTACGACCTGTGACTTCTTTTCTCTGGTATAACACTTGCCATGCTAAGTAATGTTGAATTTTTTTTTTCCTAGGATTTAATGATTTTTGAACACCAGTGGACCAACTTTTTTGCTAATTTTGATACTGAAATTCCCTTCATTCTGGAACTATCAGAATCTCAGGCGGGGGAGGTATGCCTGCTGCAGTAATCCTTTGAAATGCTAGTGTCATCCATGCAGAAGTAATAAGTATTAAGCATTCAGCATTGGTTTTTGGTTTTGGGTTTTTTCTTTTTTTTTTTTCCTCCCTACCCCCTCTCACCTTTATTGTTTGAGGGGTAGAAACCTATTGGTTTAAGCTCACTGCCCACCTTACCTGTCGGTGGAATGATGGCTTAGGACTGCCTGGTGTAGTTCACAGTTGAGTGTTTGTTCACTGGTAATTGAACTTAGTTGATTTACACCTGCACATCAGACACCTATTTGTAGGTATATTGACTTTCATTTTGGTGGAATGTCTGGTATGTACACCTCCTAACAAATTGAGGTTGCACATGACAAGTATCAAACATAACTGATGGTAACATGCAGCATGGGTGAAAATAGCACAGTACTTTTTGGTAGTGGCTGTTGCTTTTTAAGCATACATGAGACTCAGTGGTGTTTGGGTTTGTTTATGGAAGTTGGAAGTAGTTTTTGAGGGTTCAGGAGTTTTCTCTTAGAAGGATAACTCAGGTTCATTCACAGAATCACAGAATCATCAAGGTTGGAAAAGACCTTCAAGATCATCAAGTCCAACCATCAACCCAACACCACCATGCCCACTAAACCATGTCCTGAACTGCCATGTCCACACAATTTTGAACACCTCCAGTGACGGTGACTCCACCACCTCCCTGGGCAGCCTGTTCCAATGCTTGACCACTCTCTCAGTAAAGAAATTTTTCCTAGTGTCTAGTCTAAACCTCCCCCGGCGCAACTTGAGACCATTTCCTCTCGTTCTATCGCTGCTTGCTTGGGAGAAGAGACCAACCCCCACCTCACCACAACCCCCTTTCAGGTAGTTGTAGAGAGCGATGAGGGCTCCCCTCAGCCTCCTTTTCTCCAGGCTAAACAATGATAATAATATTCTTAATGATAGTAAGGATATATCACACTTTGTGTTCACTTACTTGTTAATCAGATATTTTTTTTTTCTTCACAGCCATTCAGAAGTTACTTCAGTCACGGAATGATCTCAAGCCATGTAACAGATAACAGGTATTACTCATTAGTCCCTGTGAAATTGTGGTATCACTAGTACCTTGGTATGTTATTTCTGTATCTCTGATGCCATAATGCTTATAATTCCTCTTGGGACCATCTCAGTATATCAGATCTCATCTTTGCATATTTAAAAAAAACAACATGCGAAGGTACTTCTGGGTGGGATAAACCGAATTTTCATGGTTTTAATGCTGTGGTTATTACATTTACAATGTCAACATGTTTGAAACCATCTGCCTTGTGCATTCCAATGTGATCAATTTCTTCATGGTCAGGTATCTAAACAAACTCATGAACTTACTATACAGGACACCTATGTTTGAAAATATTAGTCCTATTTATATGCTACTCAACAATTAAAATATGAAGGTTGAAGATGTCAGTATACTTTCGTGAGTCACAAAATGCACAAAACCAATACTTAAAGCAGGGCAGTTAAAAACCAAAATCTTGGCCAATATGAGATGGACAATACAGGTCAGCTTTGTTTTATTTCAGCATAGAGCGTTAAGTGAGAAGGAAGGTTGTTTGTCATGTGTTGCAAAACCAAGCTTTCTGCTGTTTTGAGCTAAATAAAGGTTGCTTAGCTACTTGAATGTCTGCAGATTCTTCTTTATTTGGAATTAAACATTGGAGTTCAATGTCCTTTATTGTTTTCAGCGTCCTATGTTGTTTGCATATAAATAATGAAAAGAAAAACCTTGACCTCTCCAGTTGAGTCTTGGGCCTAAAGCCAGAACTAAAACCAAAATAGTTTTGTTTCATTCCCATATAGTCATTTCAGGGTTTTTCAAGGTGGTAAATTTTAAACTAGTCAGCTTTTCAAGGCAATTTACTTTAAAAACAAGGAAAAAACCCTTGTAATATAATTTGGGAAACAGCCTTGAGATATGTTCTCATATATGAAAGAAATTATAGTCTTGTAGTTTTTTTTTCCCTTGGAACCTGGTCTTTTCAATGAGAACCTTTCTGCAGCTGCAGTAATTTTTTTTTTTTTTTTTTTTTGTCCTACTCTTTTAGTGAGACATTCAATAGTTAGTCCATCAGATTTGAAAGCTTTGATTTCATTTGTTGTTCACAAGTTTTCTTGAAGTATTTTGGTGGTGATACCCTCTTTTCTCCTTAGTCCGAGCCGGCAACCCTTTGTTCTGTTTGGTAGCCACTCAACGAAGGAAAACTTGAACTCTGGTAACTTTAATTTTCCATCAGAAGGACATCTTGTTCGAAACACCGGCCTTGGTGGAAGCACAGCTAAGCATATGGTAAGGCTTTTAAGTAATTATCTGGTATTTTTAAGTGTATATTTTTTTCTTTGTATATGTTTTTGGTGCCCTTAAAATGAATTAAATACCCAATTTTTAACGTACAAAACCATGTTACCTTAACAGTTAGTCAATTTAAGGAACAAATTTCATTTTTTTTTTTCTCTCTTTCCAAGTCAAGCTATACTGGATGTTTAATCAGGGATTGCTGAATGAGTTAAAATATCTTTCGTATTTAAAAAGACAGCTTTTTTAACACTTGTAGTGCGGTAAATGTGTGGGGTGGAGGAGAGGGAAATGTTGTTTATGAGGACATTTGTCATAGCCATAAGGTGAAAATTTTCCTGATGGTAGCATATGATGTATTTAACTCTGACACAGATTTTATTTTAAGCAGAATTGTTTAGCCATTTCTTAAATAGATATGGAAAGACACTTTTTTTGATAATGACTTTGTGAATAGACAAAGGGTACTTATGCGTATCCAAGTTTCGGTGTATGCTTCAGCAACTGAACAGTTCATGAAACTGAAAATCTTTCTGGTGTTCGAAGAATGTTAAGATCAAGTTGTAAGATTAACTTGTTTCCATTTTCAAGTAAAAGCTTAGTTTTAAAACATATGATGAGGTCGATGGCTTGTTGCACCGCCGTGCAGGGGACGTAACTGGGGAAGCGACCCCAGGGAATTCAGATCCTCTGGCTGGCTGGGCTGGGTGCATCAAGAAGGTAACTCGCAGCGAAGGAGGAGAGGTAGCGTGCAGATTGCATTGTGTACTTCTCCCTGCCAGCCGATTTCCATGGGCTCTGGGAGTGTCCGTCAGTTGTGCGAGTCCAAAGTCTGTGCTGTTGAGGAGATGGATGTGGTTGAGTACAGGTTATCGTGGAGTGAACGTATGACTGAGGGAATGATTTTACAATCTTATCATGACAACATTTTGTGCGTAGTTGCTTTAGGGATGGATGTATGTGGATATTCTGGACACATTACCTTGATCAGAAGCCTAAGAAAGGATTGTATTAGCATTCCAGTGAAATCTGATCCTCCATTTCCTGTTCTATCTAACCCTATTTCCATAAAAACACTCCAATTTTGGTTTTTTTCCCCTTCTTAATATTCCCGTTCAGACCATTTGATATCTTTCATAATGCAGGTACAAGGTTTTTTTCTGATGCTGTACTTGCTGCATCTGTTGTTCTCAGATTCTGACACTGTTCTCAAAAAGGTGGTTTATTTACAGGTACAGGTGGTACGGTTTTAATAGGGTGTCATGAAAATAGTAAATAAGACCAAATGCAAGCATAGTTATGGGAACCTGACACACTTTCCTCTTCATGAAAAGAGCAGTTGACGTAGGAAATTGAAAACACATGCTTAACGCTTATGGAAGTCAGAGCTCATCTCCTTTCCAAAGCCTTTCAACCATTCAGGTCAAGTCAAAAGTGAAATATACCTTTGAAAACGTAAGTTGCTTTTTAAAATCCAGTTAAGTCTGTGTTGTGCACTTCCTGTAGTATTTCAGTGGTTAGAAGACTTAAGGGGAACTTAGCTTATTGTTAATTATTGCACCAATTTTTTTTACTGATGTCTTTTTGTATCTCATTAATACTGCCAACTAGGTAGTGCAGTGTGTATCTCCAAAGGGACCTTTGGCTTGTTCAAGGACCTATTTTTTTGGTACCACTCACATTCCTTTCTTGGGTAAGTATATTAAAAACACCAAGCAGTACTTTAAGGCAGTTATTCTCTTTGATTATTTAAAATACATAGTGATTAAAAGATGGTTTTGATCTCTTTTATGAGCATTGAGTCATGCAGCGGTAGATACCATGTAATTCTGTAGCTGGTGCATGAAATTTTGATGGAACATTGTTCTGTTGCACATCCTACATTCATGTGCAGAGATCTGTTGGATATTCTCAAAGAATGATTCAAAGGTGAAAAAGTGTATTTGTGTTTGCATCAGAATGCAGTGTGAAAGTAGAGAGCACCTGAGTGTGCAGGCCTTTTGCAGGCACTAGATAAACATTTAAGTTGGTGTTTCATACAGTTTGATAGAAAAATAGTCCTCAAAAATCTAGTAATTCAAAGTGGTAGTTGTCAAATAAGCCTGCTTTTTTTTTTCAAAAAAAAAAAAAAAAACAAACAAACAAAAAACCCACCAACAAAATAGTTAAGGATTTTATAAAGTGGAGAAAATTGTTTGACTTCTGTTCTTTATCATCTGGTTTGTGTCAAATTGTAATAGTTGTCTTTCCTAATAAAAACAAGCCACGTGAAATTGTTAAAAACAATTTTCTTGCCCGTTTTAAGTGGCTGTATGAGTCCCTGGATAAAGTCAGTCTCTTCAGGGTTACTATACATCTTGAAACCGTATCTAGCTCAGAAGGTATCTGAAGAGAAGATGGTTGGAGGCTTGCCAAATGGAAGGAATTACAGCATGTTTTCTGCTCTAGCTGTGCTTGTTCCTGGGCATCCAGGAATGGCCACTTTGGGAGCCAGGGTAAAGCGTGAGAGAGATCTTTGTTCTGACCCAATGCCGCTGGTTTTAGGGGATGCAGGTCTTGGTCTTGGCCACAGTATGTACTGATACAAGTTAACCTGTGCTTTGCTCTTTTTTTAAATCTACAAACAAACGCAGTTCTATAAAATACTGGATAAATGTCATGTAAGATATGCAGCAGAGATGCTACGTCCAAAAAGTTCTGTGTAAACGCTTCCGGAAGTGCTTAAAACAAGCAATTTTGTTTTTAATACAGGAAATGACAATGAGACGCACAAGCAAGCTGAACAAGTGTAAGCTGCCAACTTTTTATTAATCCTTAACTCTTCACTCTTTCTACCATGTGGTAGTAGGTCAAAACTGCTTTTAGTCAGCAGTAGCTGTTGGCATTTGCAGAGCTACGTTTTTGTTTAGAATAATCTGAATGTGCAAGGCTCTCAAAGGATGTTAATGGGCAAACTAGGAATTCTTGGTGTGACATGCCTTCTGTATGGCGAAGTATGAAAGGAAGTATTAGTAAATTTTGTTTAAATTTTATTAGAACTTCTTCATCTTAACACTTATTTGAATCACTTTAACATGTACCTCATCTACACCTAGGGGGAAAGTGTCTATAACTGAATGGGAGCATGTTCCATAGATAGAAGTCAAAGTAATTTTTTAGACTAGTTTCATTAAGCTAAACAATGCGTAAGATTTATAATGGTTAGTGAAAATGCCAACAGAGAACACGCAAACTTGTGAAGAAATTTCACTGTGTTAAAGGGTAGATAGAAGTTAACTTCTGAATTTTTTTGTTAGTAAGCTACAAGGCTTCCGCACGTTTTGACCTTCACAAAATAACGCTTTGTTTATCCATGTTGATGTCCACTTCTCTGCATGTTGTAGATACCTGTCAGCCTTTAAGAACGTGGTAGATAATCTGCTTTGGTACTGCTCTCAGTCTTGATAAATCAGACCTTTCCTTAGAGATTTTGTCCTCCTTGTTAGTTAGGATAATTTCAGGAGCCTGTTCTTGCCTCTGCAGTGGAGCAGTTTGCAAGCCTGCATGACAGGTTAGTGAGGTGTTAAAAGATGTGTCCAAGGGAGCTGGTAGCGGTGACCTTTCATGCTAAATACCATTGACTTTTGATAATCGTGGTATGGTTCTCAGGCGTAAAAGAAGTTACTAGACCAAGCAGCAGTATATTACATTTTATAGTAAAGGTGACTTTGACAGATAATCTTGCTTACATAGATGTTCTGCTCAAACATATAGAGTATCTCTTGTCCTACTTCTAAAAGGCTTTGTACTAAATACAGAGGGGTTCTAAGCAAAGCAGAGGTCTATTGACAGAGGCAGTATTTTTTACAAGTATCTTTTTCTTGGAAGGGTCCCTGTATTGGATCAAATAAACTAGTTTCAACAACAGCAGCAAAATTAGCTTTTCTGGCAAACATGACCTCACGATTTCAGAATGAGTTTGCAGTTGAGTCCTGTAACTAGTTCTTATATTTGTCAGTGTTTTCCAATGAAATAAAGAGTGGAAAATATTTCATAAGGACTATTCAGTCCAAATTTGCCTGTATAAATACTACTTCCTAAAGGAAGCAGAACTGTAACCTTGAGTGCAGATTGACTAGAGTGCATGAACTGACTGTGTAACTTCAAGTATCCCTGGGGTAAACGTATTTTTATTTTTATAAAGAAAATACCACTTTCTGGTTTGTGGTGTTAGTGTTAAAATTTTTGAAATGGGAAGAAGAGTAAGGTAACTATAGCATATCAATGCAAAGCACAGCCCACTGTGAGGTGTTTTCTTGCAAATAGTTATATGTGAATTTGAGTGAAAATAGGAATGGTTCCAGAGTTAGGAAGAATTATACATATTTCCTGTAATGAGTGTGTACTGAAAACATAAATTAAGTGTATGTGTTAGTATATGAAGTTCATGAAATTGCAGAGACGAAACCTCAGAAAGTAGTAAAAGGTTGGATTTTAAAATCTCTTACTGCTATTGGGGATGAAGTTCAAAGACAAGCATTGGTGTATTTTGAGGCTCTTCCATGTTGGGCCATGTTTGGGAGCTTCAGATGCTTTTTTCCATCCTTCAGGAATGCTTTGCATACGTGTCCTGGTTTCAGTTTTTTGATGTTCTTCGGCTGCCCAACTAGAGAATCTAGTCATAAAAGTACGCCATGTAGATGCTCATGTACCCAAGAGTCGGGCCACTGAAGAACATCAAAACAACCATCAGGTGGATCAGGCTGCTAAGATTGAAGTGGCTCAGGTGGATCTGGACTGGCAACATAAGGGTGAATTATTTATAGCTCGGTGGGCCCATGACACCTCAGGCCATCAGGGAAGAGATACAACATATAGATGGGTGCTTAGTTGCTGGCTGGGGCTAAACCACGACAATATGGCTTAAATGCTGTACCCTTCTCTTTCTGCCCTCTCTTCCCTCCCTCAAAATCTAGCAGTTGCAGAGGAGTAATGAGAGGAGTTAAAGTTTGGGGAAGTAGGACTGTTTTGTTGATCTGTTTGTCTTTTTATTCCAATTTAGTTGGAAGGCAGAGGCTGATGTTTCTTAGCTGGGCACAGATGGATTTTTTCAATGGTTCTGGAGCTATAAATATGTCGGTAGCTGTAAGTCACTTCTCAAGCTTCACCCGGTCGTTGTTTTCTTCTGTACAACTCTTTCAGTTCGCTTTTAAGAAGGGGATCAGACTAAGCTGTGATGTAGATGTGCTGAAAAGGTTCTGATGACTGGTTTGGTTTGGTATTTTTTTGCTTGACATGCTCCGGAACAAGGCAAGCTCTGAAGTCGGTTCACTCTGTTTTCCAGTTTTGATTTTGCAGAACATGGGGCTACCATTCTATTTTTGTTGGAATATTTAGGATGTGATCCTCAACCTCCAGTGAAAGGCAACAATAAAATGTCTGTTTGTTTTCTTGGCTGATGAGAACAGGAGTACATTTGTGCCAAGAGTGGTCTTTTTTTTTCCCCAAGATACTCTCTCATTTGAGCAATTTACTTGCTGTAATTAATTTTTTTTAAGTTGAAAGGTTAAGTATAAAGCTATTTCTACACTTACTTGAGCAAGGACCCCTTCCATACAAGGGAGTTGTGTTTTGAGAGGGAAAACTGCTCCTTTAAACAGAGGAGGAGGAATCTCTATCTGTCTAGTAAATGTTGTGTTTGTATTTCTCTTCAGTACGCTGTTGTCGCAAATATATACTGCTGTTGTAGAGGCTGTGCTTGCTGGCATTGAGTGCTATGCTAAAACTTCCACTGAATCCAAGGTAAATGAAGCACCGATTCTGTACATTGTAATTGTTGATTTGGATTGCTTGCAACGTAAGATTATATGCAAACCAAAAAAAAAAAAAATTTCAGTCAACTGCATAACATTAATGAAGTTAATACTGTGGCCTCTAACCAGTCACTCTGAATTATATTTAAAAAAAAAACAGAGAAATTTCAGAGTATGTCTAATCTTAGCCATCTACAATTATTTTTCCACCTTTCATTAATTTTCCTAACCTTACAGTAAGGAAAATCAGATATGTGAAAGAACAGATTTTAGCCTGGTGCATCAGTGTGTTGTTGTTTAGTGTATGGTCTCTTGTTTATCTTATGGGTGCTCTTGTAGTTGCTGGGATTTCAGATTGTGGGAAAAGATACTTTATTCTTGATTTCCTTTTTTTTTTTAGGCAAAGGAGGTAGCAGAGCAGATGCTCATGTCTGTGTTAGATACCCTTCATTTAACACAACTTAAAACTGCATTACGGTATGTATTTTCAAATACTTATTGATTGATGTATTGTCTCGATGCATTAGTTTCCTTTTGCGGGGGGAAAAAGTACACCAAATGTTAATCTGAAACTGAACTTGTGTGATTGCCCAATTCCAAGACTTCATAATGTATCTAAACTTCTAAAATCATGATAATTATTCCATTTGTCTTTTCCTGCTTTTTAAAATTACTTCAGCAGTTTTTTTAGCTTTAAAACTGTTAGTGCATATTTTTTACATGTAGCAGTATAAAACATTTTTTCACCAGTACTTTCTTCTCTACAGCTCCAGAATCGCTTTTCAAATTCAGGCTGTGAATAATCATGGAAGGTTTGTATCAGTCTTACACTTCTTGTTCTTAATTAGTGTTTTTAATACAGTAGTAAGTTTACTTTTCTTGTCTTGGAGCTTCTGAGGAAACATTGCATTTGATTATTTCATAAAAGATGTACTAAATGCTTTTGTGTGTGTGACAGTTTAATAGTTTCGTATCTGTAATTCTGTGGAATCTTAAAAACATCAGAAAAAATCTAAAACAACTGGGCAGACCAATTTTATTAACTGTTAATGAGTAGAGGCAGCATGAGCCTATTAAGAGTTTCCTTTTAAAACTGTGCTTTTAACTTACTTGATATTACAAGCTTGTGCTTTTTTAATCTCCATGCTGTTTAGTTGACTGAAATGGCGTACAAAAATAAGAGTTTATTTCAAAATAAAATAACTTTTTTTGGCTGATAAGAAGTCACTGAAAATGACCTAACCTTTAAATGTTTAATTATTATTGTTCTAGAATTACTCCATTAGAAAATGAGGATAGCCTGTGTTTGATTAAAACAGTAAGTAAACTGTTCAGTATTGTGATTACGTATTTTATTAGAAAATAGAACTCGAGTGGCTTTTTCATGGGGCATGCTGATTTTTTTTTTTACTCTGTATGAATACAAATGTAAGGAGAGAGGTGAGAGAGATTTCAAATGCTGAAACCGAGGTAAAATTGAATTTTAAGATGAAGGTGGACAGTGAAATTTGGAATAAAATGGTAACATAGAGTTATGATCTCAGACTTTCCACCACAACATAGAACTGTTGTGTTTTAGGAGGGTTAAAACATACGGAGTTTGCTGCTTCAACCGAAATATTTCAAGTTCTGCTTTCTCGTCTTTTCTGTCCAACTGTTTGATTGCTGCAGGCATCTATGATGGTATTTGACATTCCAGATTTGCTCACAGGAAAAGGATGCTTGGGATCTGTTGTCTTTTCAGAGTCATTTCTAACGTCACAGATACAAGTAAAAGAAAAAGGTAACTACTCTAAATTCTAATACTGACATTGTTGTTCTGTTAGCTTTGTTGTGATGGAATAGCAAAAGGGCTTGTGCTGGATCTTACTATTATTACCATTATGGTTTTAAGCCTTTGGGCTAATTAGAAGGCCTAAATGTTTTAGCTTGCTAGTAATGAATATCTTAACTATCAAGGCAGTTTCTTTAATCTCACTTTGGGTTTTATGGCTGCCTTGTGATACAGCAGGGCTGAGGTGTAAAAATTGAAGTGTAATACTGCCTGTCCTAGATTTTCGTCAGTCTTTCTGCCTATTTTCTATTGTATGAAGAAACTCAAACAGCTCTCTTCCATCACCTTTGTAACACTCATTTTATACCACGTTTTTGTTTCAGTTGCTCTTTGTTTCTAAGAGATGAAACAAAACTAAAAAAGGATACGATTTTTAGAAAGCTTGTTTTTGCAACAGTCTTACATTTAAAATACAGGATACTGAGCAATTTCTGTAACACTAGACAAGTGCACGTTTTCCAGATTGTTTACATCTGACAAAGAAACATAGTTGTTGAGGTTGTCTGAAGAATATTTATGAATTCTTGTATCCAGACAGGCTGTGGGTTTTTAACCATAAGAGTTGGGAACACTTGGTGGGGAGGACAGCAAAGGAAGACGCCATCGTACAGACACGAGTATTATATATATTAGCTTAGATTTAGCACTCTGATGTCAAAAGCAGAAGTCTTGGGCTACTGATTTGGGATAGGTCACAGGCAAGAGCTGAATGAAAGGGAAATGGTGAGAAAACAAGAGGAAACGGCCTCACGTTGCGCCAGGGGAGGTTTAGGTTGGGTATTAGGAAAAATTTCTTCACCGAGGGAGTTGTCAGGCATTGGAACAGGCTGCCCAGGGAGGTGGTGGAGTCACCATCACTGGAGGTGTTCAAAAAACGTGTGGACGTGGCACTTTAGGACATGGTTTAATGGGCTTGGTGGTGTTGGGTTGGTGGTTGGACTTGATGATCTTAAAGATCTTTTTCAACCGTAATGATTCTGTGAAGTATGTAGCTTTAGGTGAAGAAGATAGACATGATAAGGAAGTGTAAGAGGTATATACTAAGACCAGAAGAAAAGCAGTGTTTCTTTTGGTGTTGTATAGCTGCTCTGTGTATGTTAGAGCACGAGAAGACTGGGAGCTAGTCTGCTGTGAAAGCTTCACTTAAACACGAATAAGTCCTTAAAATAATGAGGAAATTTTCATATTTCCTAAATAAATTTCAAGACCTAGAAGTAACTTATTGAACAGTCTGAAGCATGTGCATGGTATTATACTACCCTGCTTTCCATTTATTTCCCTGCAGATGGCAGCATTAATTCAGAAACCAGCCACATAATACTGACTGCAGCTATCCCAAGATACGCTTCTTGGCTGGTTAGTACACAAATCTGAGTGTTTTTCTATAAATTCACAAATGAGAACTTGTTATAAAAGTATGGATGTATGAGGGAAAAATATGTAACTTGGACATTGAAACAGAATATTAATATATTATTCTGACTTTTAACTATGGACATGAAGTAAAAAACTAGTAAGTGGAAACAGGCTGATGGTTCCATTCATAACACAAGCTTTAAATTATTTCGTTTTCACCATTTCAGTTTTTTAGCTGTGTAAAGGCATAGGTTTTTCAAGTACACGGTGTGGTTTTGAAAATTCTGTTTATTGTGGGCCACTTTAGATCACTCAAATGTGTGCCCCGGCAGAAAGGAAGGTCTGCTTCCAGACCTGCAATGTACTCTACTGTATTAGAGGTATGATTGCAATGAATGTTACGGAGTTGGGCAACGTTATACCAGTTGGCAACCCATACTTCTGAAATGCTTCAATAAAAAATAAGACTGAATGGGATACACTACTTTGTGTCTATACAATACTATTTTAGTCTTTTCAAACAATTTAATGGGGAGTATCCCCTTGAATGTGTTTCAAGGAGCTATTTCAGTCCCAAAGTAACACAGTATTGAAGAAAACAAAGCTGTCTTTGAAGCCCTCCGGTCTCTGGACTGTATGTGTTTGTGGTACCTAAGGTTCTTGTTTGCCTTGAATCTTACTTAATTCTTTTTATTTAATGTTATACTTGCTTTATGTACTAATGATGCAAATGGAAACCATTTCTGGCTACAGGTTGAAGATAGTGATGTGAAACTGTCTGAAAAGGCACAGCATATACTGAAGGTAAAATTAAATACTTTTGTCAAACTATATAAGTTACACTTTCAAAAACCAATACTGAAAAGCTCTTTGCTAGTAAAACTGGCTTTTATGTTTGTTATTCCTCTTCTATGAAAGACTTGCCTATTCTACCCTATCTGTTTCAGTCTTTGACCTACAAAAAAAAAAAACATCATGTGTAAAAGTTTGAGGTTTTCTTTATTTCAAAGAATGACAAAACGAAGAGCAAAAAGAGTTCTAATAAACCTACAATTTCATGGAAGTCTGACTAAGTATTACCTATGCAGCTCACGTGTTTCAAAAAAAATCCCCCAAACTCGATGTCACTCTACCTGCAGCTTTCTTTTAACTTAATTACTGTGCTAAATGTCTAAAGGAAAACACTTTAAGCACTATAAAAAGAAAAGAATTTGGGATCTGTGAACATCATAAACCACATGAGTTTCACATTTGTGGTTTAATTTGTGGTTACCAGAAATCTTCATTACAAATAGATTTATTTTCCTGTAATACACTTTTAGTTGAGTAGATTTACAATCTAAAAACAAAAAGCTATGCCTTGTGGTTATGACAATAACTTGTAACTTAATAGCTGCAGGCAAAACCAAAATCAGGGGGAAGTGCTTTTAAAAATTAATACTCTTGAGATGCTGTCTTTCACTAGTTCTTCCGTATCAATGCAGTTTAAAACTTTTGTAAGGGTTCCGACAGATGCTATTTAAAAAAAATTCTCTTGAAGCAAAAGCATAAGAAAATGTTTTTGCCTGGATCATAGTCCTTGATGCAGTCTGTGATAGTACTGTTTGTTTTTTCCTGTTTAGGAAGACAAATCTTTTCTTGGCACTTTACTCACTGGAGGTGATGGAGCATATATTTATTCTAGCAATCCACAGGCCATGCCTGCTGAAGGTGAGATGAGTTTTTTTCCAATTACTTACAGAGTTGGTCCACTCTTTTTTAAACAAGAGAGAGGTGCACGGTTTCTGGGATTTACACATCTGGTGAGCATACCTATGCCATCGTCTTAAGCTTGCTTTCCATTTGTCTTTGCAACCTTCTCGTGTTGAACTCCATGTTTTACTAGTTTGTCCCCAATCTCTGCTTGAAACTCCTAGTCCTAGAAGAGGGATTCCCGTCAGAGCCATAGGCCCATGGGACTCGCCTCACATGATTGAGAGTGAGTCTTTGCAGACCTCAGGGATGACTTTCTGCTATAGTTGAAGTTTAAAAGCATGCACAAACTGGCTGCTTCTATCTGTAATGGGCGGTGTGCCATGTTTTCTGCTTTTTCTGTACCTATATGAACATTAGGTTGGAAAGATTGGGCATTGCAGTAGTGACAGTATGCCAGGGGCTCTCAGCTGGAGAAGTGAAGGCAAACAAGTACCTTTTGGGCAACATGATATGCTGGCTGTGATGTAGGAGGGGATTGGAATGATTTGTTTCTATTCCTTCTGGAGCTGACATGCTGTTCCAGTTTTTTTCCATTGTCATTTTCACTCAGGAACTTCAGTGTTTATTACCGTATTACAGAAAGATGCTCGATCTTGGTCCTTTTCAGATTCAGCTGAGTTACTGCTTTCTGACATGAGATTACTAGCAACAGTCTTGCATCATTCCTCTTCTTTTGGTGCTTTTTCCTTCAGGAACTTAAGCAGCATAAATATCCCAATAATACGACCAAAGACAATTTGAGAGGATTGTTGGAAGGAGCTTCCCTCACTCCCACAACCTTACATTAATGTGCCTTGCTTTGCCTTGAGAAAACTCCTAGAAGAATAAATAGAAGTTGTTGAATCAAAACATATTTCTTAAGGCACAATATTTTTATATTCCTCTGTCCAGAGAAGGTATTGATGTGTTGTCACAGTATTGATGTACAGCAATAGATAACTAATATCTGATATCTGAATGCATAGTAATAAGCTGATGATCTTTAGGGAAAAATCTTTAGCTGTATTGTTTTTGTAATTGTGCAAAGAGAGTATTGAGGATAAATAAGGATATACAATTAAATAGTGATTTTCACATAGAGGAATTTGCTTTTGCTCTAATTAAACAGATTTTAAAGAAAGAAGGCTAATGCAGAATAACGTATTTAGCTATTTTTCAATACAGTGCTGTGGGCACAGGTTCACTGAGTAAATAATGAAGGGAAAGAATGGTGAGTTTAAAAACAATTTTTTTTTTGTTGGCTCTTTGAAAACTGACTGTGTCTGTCCCAGTGGAGCCATCTACTTTTTCCCTTTTTTGGGGAGATTTGTGAAGCTAAGTGTTTTGATAACTCTCGGGATGGAGAGTTTTAAGTAGGTGGTATAAGGACTATTATGTAACACTTCAACGAGTGAGATATTTTCTTAGGTGTCAAGTGAAAATGAACTTGATCTTGTTCCCTTTCACGTATGCTGCAACACAGTTTGCTGTGCTCTAATTTGGGCTCTGATGTTGCAGCTATGTAGTCTGGCAAGATGAAGTGAAAAAAAGTGCTGTAACAACAGGTGTTCATCTTCCTTCTGTCACTTGTGACTTACTGTAATAAGGTATACATTCATGACTAAAATACATCAAAAAATTTCAAGCTGTTAAACTCTTTCCTTAGTATGCTAATACAACTGCTGTGTTACGGATTTCCGTAGGATGAACTTAACTGAGTCAATCAGTCTTACCAATTAAACTCTACTTTGTGATTAATCACTTGTGGAAAATACACAAGTAGTAGATGAAGTTGTTCTTGATATAATTCATTGACTTCTATGTTAAAGGAACCTGTTTTAGTTAGGATGAATACTCTTTTTGCTTGCTTTTCTGTTACGAAAGAATTAAGATCTCTGATTTCCTTTCTTTGCCCGTTGCCACATTCTCTGTGAAGTGTGATAGTCTGTGAGATTTGACAGAAGTGATACTTGAAGTGTTGTATTTTGCGTTTTTCTTCCTCAGCCACTCAATAGAAGGCACATAACCTGTGCTGTGGCTTGGATTTTGTGAGCACTGAAAGCATCAGCAATGACCACGTTGTAAACTATTAAACCTCCATATCTATGTAATTACAACAGAATCGCAGAATCATTAGGTTTGGAAAAGATCTTTAAGATCATGGCCATTTGAGGCCATTTCCTCTCG